GTGACATTGGCTTTCTTAATTCATAATTGTCATAATTGAATTCATAACTGCATTAATTCTTAATTCATGAATTGTCAATTCATGAAATATAAGAAGACAGTCTCTTCCCTGAGGAGGGAACTGCATAATGAGAGAGAGGAGCTCACCGAAGAGAAGTCAACTGCAAAGGGCAGAAGGGAGCCCTAATGTAAAGCTTTTCCTCGCGTATATGTTACATTTTCTCAGACAAGAACAGTCTCTCTTTCTTCAGGGTTGCTATCTGACAAAGTGAACAAACAAGGACAAGTGGTTTGTGCACGTGATTGATTATTTTTCTTTCTAGGAACAGCCCAACTTAGCTGAAGCGTGACGTGTCTCTAAGCACCACCCTCTATAGAGCCAGGGCATGGCAAGCTGGCAAGAGGTTCCCAGAAAAGCTGACGATTTAAGCAGCTGCTGCGTAGTCCTCCTGTCTTCCACCTGCTTCACAGATAAGGAAACAGAGCTCAAGGGGCAGCAAAGAAACCCAGTCTTGAGAGCTGAAGCACATTTAAAATAAATCACCTCATTTCAGTGTCTAACCTCTTAAATAACCCAGAAAAGCAGGCCTCCTCCGCTCCAGGCTAACGATGTAAAAGAGAAAGTGGAAACATTAATGGTAAGAAAACGGAGAGAAGTTTGTGGTTTTGAATGCCACTGTCTCCAGAACAAGACTGCTACGGGGAGGGATGGGGAGAAATTAAAACAATTCATTATACGTTTTCCCTTCTGTATTGCCTGTGTTTTATAGAATTCATTAGGTCTGTGCATTGCAGCAGTTTAGTTGCTGGGTATCAAACTAGCTGGGGAACGATTTAATAAAGAAGAGATCTTTTGGGGGAAGTGACTTAAATGTTTCCTATTATTTTCACTTAATAAACTTTGCAGTCATGAAATCGTAGCTGAAGAAAGCCAGCTTTCCAAGTGAGTGTTTAAGAAAGTACGTCAAGGGCGGCACAAAAACATTCAGCAGAAATAGAGAACATAGGTGTCTGTTGGGGGTGGGGGGGGGAGGAAAACGTTAGTAATGGCTCAGATCATTTAACTCCACTCTTCGCAGGCTCTAGTATTTTCAGCCGTCGAAGACAGGCCGGTGCCTCTCCGCGGGGGAAGGTTTCAGTATATCGCAAGCTGCCCGCGGAGGACCGCGGCGGCGGCATGGAGAGCTTGCAGGAGGAGAGCCCTCTGCAGCGGGTGAGTCCCCCGCCGGCGGCAGCC